AATTAGGTTGAATTTGAAGATTCGGGTCGAGGTGGGTGAGAATCGAGATGGGGAGACGATTTCGGTGGGTTTGTCTGGGCTGGCTTGTAGTGTTGTGAATTGTAAAGTGCATTGAAGGAAGGCGGCGATGTGTGTGAATGTGATCATGTGAGCAGAGAAGCCGCTCTTCACGGGAGTCTTTGAAAAACGTTCATTCTAATTGCGCGCAAATTTAATGAGACAATACTAATGTGAAGCCTAGCCTAATGTCAAAATCTCCTAAATAAAAACACAAATATTTATAAATAATTTTAAGTGTTTTTAGGAGAAATAGTCCTTGAACTTACGTGGCGGGAGGGTGACATCGGGTGAGGTCGGTAGTAGCTGTAGGTGGCGGGATTTGATTGTGCGGTGTGATTTATGGGATATTTGTTATCAATAATGCTTAACAACAACTAAATTTGAGTCCCCACCACATCATCTATTTTTATTTAACTCAAAAATCCTCACATTTTTCTTAAATTAAGATTAATATAAAGAGTAAATAACTTAGTCTCAACGTATTTATGTGAATGTTTTTTTCGGTCAATTAAAACAAAATTATTTGAACTCAAATACAATTGTAGCATATAGAAACATCGGCCGTAACGTCGGCAGTAACGAGAGAAACTATATATGTGTGGCGTTTTTTGTTTAGAAAAGTTGATATAGATCCAAATTCTCATCTAGAAGTTGGGTTTAATCCTCGGATTTGGTGACTTTGATACAAGTCCTTTGACTTTTGTGCCACATAGGATTACATTCCTTTTTGAATATTGTCTGATGTAATCTTTTTATTTTATATATTTAAAATCATTTTTTGTTCCAATATTGCCCATTATCTTAGATTACTTACCTTAATGAGATAATTAGCCAATATTATATTTCTTTCCTTATCCAATTTACCCTTGCCCATTATCTTCGATTACTTACCTTAATGAGATAATTAGCCAATATTATATTTCTTTCCTTATCCAATTTACCCTTGCCCATTATCTTCGATTACTTACCTTAATGAGATAATTAGCCAATATTATATTTCTTTCCTTATCCAATTTACCCTTGCCCATTATCTTCGATTACTTACCTTAATGAGATAATTAGCC